AAAATGAACCTACTACTAAAACTAGCCGACATGAATTTGATTTTTGCCTCACTTGGGACAGTTCGTTTGATATGAAACTATCATTCTATGCGTTTTTATTCTAAGACTTAACCTTTATTTATTACTGTAATTACATAGTGGTCGTGGTCGTGGAAATAATGTTGCAACAAACACGTATATTTGTTTTTTTTTTCAAACAAACCAATGATTTTGACCGGTCACAGGTCTCATGACCCATGGGTCAACCAAGATCATAGGACAAGTGCCCGAAACGTTGAAAAAACATAAGAAAATAGTTTCATTTCAATTGTGAAACAATCGCAAAAACAATCTCAATTTATTACTTACATTAAAACAATTTACAATAAACTAATCAAACCTCTTTGACGATCGGAATTTCAAATCAAACAAAAGTCTTCGTTCCTCTCCATTTAACAAAATTAACAATGAGTTTAGTGACAAACAACTTTTTAGCAAATCAATTGTTTTGGAGCTCTTCGCCAGTCCGAGCGGACGACAAGTGAATGACCCATGACGCAAGACGGCCTTGGCTTCGTTACATTTCGAGATGCGCCAGAAAACGTTAAGCCAGGTTAGTACATATAGTACAAAAGGAACTGGTGTATTTGGATTGGGCAAACATTCATATTGAACTAGAAAATGTGAGAAGTCCCCAATGGCTTGGACTACAGCAGAGCTATAATGCTTTAGCGGCAGTTGTAGCACACAAAAGTTTTATGACAATCGAATGAATATTAATGGATGCATACGGGACAAACGTATAAACATACATGACATTTCTAAAGGAAAAGAGTCGCTTTGTGAAGTACTGCCACCTTACTTATTCCTGCCACCAAGCAGTAAGGTTCACGTTACTGCGTTCCTGTTTTGAAGGATAAGGATGCTGCCTGGTGAAATTACAGGCACATGGGACTTGTGAACTAATGTCTCAGGGGGACAGGCGCAGTGGCAGTGCCCTTCAGATCTTTGCTTCTTATAAGCTTTGAGCGGCCCTGCAACTGTTATGGACAGGCGTGCCACAAGGCGCACGACTTATTCGCCTCGTCACTTGGTAATATAACAAGTACGATTGTTATAGCAAAGTACGTTTGTCGGACATACATTTTGTACGTTCTTTCAAAGTCCATTTTGAAAGAACTTACAAAATGGGCTTACCACTTATTAACCGAAGCAAATAGATAACAGTTGCTGCGATGATGTCGTGGTAACAGTTTTTAAACCAAGTCGTAAATTCATATAATACCGGACCATGGAAAACTTGTACTAAAAAATCTAACTTATTGTGTGAAATTTGTATGTACGCACCCTAAATTAACGAAAGTGACTCGGATAAGCCGAGTTCAATGGGTCAAGTAGCATAAATCTCGAATTGGCCTGTTTAGAAATTTAAACTCTGTGAAAATATCGAGTTTCTTCACTGAGTGCCAGTAATGTTTTGATAGCTTGAAGTGTAGGTGTTGCGGTAATACTGTACAAAGACCTGTGTTAAATGTAAGATATTTTATTCATAAATTGACAATTTATTCGCAAACTGATCTTCGAAGAAGGGGTTAAAAGTTTAGTGATTTTGCAAGATTTTAAAGATGTTCAATTGAGTAGATGAAAATAATATTAATAAGGTTTATTTCATAACGTTAAGAGTATTATTTTTTGTAAAAAAAAGTAAATATTTACATAAATGAAAATTTCCAAGAAAAATTAATTATCTTGAAAGTATCTCGTTGAAAATCAATAGTTCTACTATATAAAAGGATTGTATTAAACGACATTCAACAGCATAACACAACACAACTCTTAAGAACTATTTTACAGGAACAGCATGTAAAGGATACCGGATGATGTAAAATGTGGCCTGGATGGACCGTCTTAGTGGTCGACCGATTGGTCGGACCAAATACCGATGGAGAGAACAAGTGGAGAAAGACCTCAGTGCCCTGTACGCAGAGAATTGAGAGAAGAGAGCGCAAGATAGGCCGCTGGCGGCAAATTGTATCGGAGGCCAAGACCCACTTCGGGTCGCTGAGCCAACGGAGTAAGTAAGTACGCCAATTACAAAAATATAGATTTTAAGCCATTCGTGGTTATGATGATTAATGATTAATCACTAATAATAATAATAAAGTGGGAAATACCGCCTCTCTCCTTTAAAAATTCAAAAATAATTTTTAGGCCTGGGGAGAGGCGACAGTTTAAAATAGATATAACAATAATAATGCACACACTCAGCAGTAAGCGACGCGCCTGTCCATAGCAGTTGCAGTGACACTCGCAAAGATCTAAGCCACTGCCACTGCTCCCGTCACCCTAAGACATAAGTTGACAAGTGCCATGTGCCTGTAATTTCACCAGCACCCTTACCCTTCCAAACCGGAACGCAGTAATGCACACATACTGCTCGACAGCAGAAATAGGTAAGGTGGCAGTACTTCCCTGGACGAACTCTTTCTCAAACAGGTGTACTGCTACTAACATATAGATACTTACCTAATTAAAACTACTTTTACTTGTTCGTTAACAGACAGCTTCTGTTCCTGTAGCTATTTAAGCAATTATCATTAGAAGTAAGAATCATTATGTCTATGGATCGTTCTAAATGGTCATTCAATATTCCTATACCTTACATAAAGTTTCTATAAATAACTTTTTTCATAATATTACGATGAGTGATGTAAACACCATTGTTTCTTGAGTTACATCAGGTAGTTTCATGAAGGAAAACGTCGCAAGATTATTAGTAATAATAAAATTAATTACTTGGTAAGAAAAATTACTTTTCCAGATCGTTATCTCTAGACTGATTCAGACCTAAGTCTAGAAATATGATGCAATTATGCGTCATTTTTACATCTTGCAAGGTAGTGATAGACTAGCTAGGAAAATACTTGCCTTCTATATAGAACCTGGGTTCAATTACCACGGGGGTTTACCATTGAATGTTTTCATCTTCAATTCAAAATTTAGTTTTGCTGATTTTCACTTGCTGTAACAAAAACCACTTCGACGACTTGTGAAAAATCTTTTAAAAGGCTCAAGCCCACACGTTATAGAAGACTCGTGTAATTATCGTTGGAACGTCTATAGAATGATCTTAAGCCATGCTAGCCGAATGGTTTGACCTACCGTCTCTCTAGCAGAGGTCGTGGCTTCGAATCCGTGTCCGCACCTCTGAGTTTCATGAAATTCTGTGTGCGAAATTTCATTTCAATTTTACTATGAGCTTTTCGCTAAAGGAAAACATCGTCATTAAAGAACGTTTAAAGGAATTAAAAAGCAATTCAAAATTTAAAAACGAGTGGCTAGGAACCGCAGAAAATGCGATAAAAAGGTGTGATGACTATGTAAGGAGGTCACACCGTCACAAATGGGTTGATGATGATATCATGAAAGGGACATACTAATTCCTAATTAGTTGATATAAACTTATTTTTTATGTCGTTTTTAACAAGTTGAAAATCAGCTGCACAACACCCTGGACTCTACATTCAAGGCTTAAGTTCAAGTCTATGCCACTTTCATAGCAATAGATCAAAGTCCAAAATATAAAGATCTGGATGTTCCAGTTTGGAACAAGCACATTTAGCAACTTTTACACGGAAGGTTCAATTTTGTTTTCATTTACCGAATATGGTCGCAATAGTAGAAGCTGTTTCGAATGATGTAATTGAAATTATCAGCTTAAAAAGTGTTACGGACTCCTTTGTTTTAATACCTTTTTTCCTATTGTTTTTTGCCTAAAAAAATTGTCAGTGATGCCAATTGAAGAAACCGATATATATTAATTGTGACGTATAATTGTGATTGCCACGCAGTGTCAGCAGCGTCAGCGTCATAAAGTGTTTTGATATTGTCCTCTACACTCTGCATTGCATATTTATATTGTGTTTCCTTAGAAATCATTATGATTATAAAATAATTTTATTTAGTTTGCCGTTATGATTAATATTTGATATTTGCTTGTTGTGATTATTTTCTTAGCTATGTTTATTTATGTGAATGTAATTTAATTCAAGTTTAAGTTGTTACAAGTTCTTGAATGAATAATTTGGACTTAATAGTTAATAATCGGTGCAAAGATATAAAATTTATATATTGTGTTCAGTTCCATGGTTTTCGCAGAATAACGGCTAGTAAAGCGCCGTTAAAAATATAATTATAAAGTAAAAATAAAAGAGAACATTACGTAACCAAATTTTAATCAAAAAAGAACAATATTAAATTTAAAAGAAAAACATTAAAAATCGCTATTGATGGTATGAAATGATGTCATGAATTCAAGGTGCACTTTTCAGTTGTTACGTGCACCAAAAATTTAGTTACATCACACGTGCGGACAAGATTTGTTGCTGAGTCCCACTGCCTACAACGTATTTGCCAAATCGTCGATCCATTTAACCTATTTACTTTGTTACAATTACTGTTATTTTGTTTTGATTCCTTTTCTTCTATAATTATATTATTTCCTATAATTGCTTAGTTAGTTTTTCGTTGTTGCAAATTTGTGTTTCTTCTCTTTTATTGCCAATTAACTAAAACCAAGAAACGTAATAAGCGATATCAAATATTCAATAAAACGTATAAACAATAAATATTTGAACTCATACTTTTTAACTAGCTTGTTATGTTGTTAAGTAGTAACTTTTGTTGACCTTTTCGTGGTCGTAACAAAAACTTTATTTTTACGTACGCCTATTAATTGATCTTACATCATCATGAATGCCAAAACATCATCATAATTCCGTGTCGTTTTACATAATAACATCTTTAAATGTACGTTTTAAAACTATAAATAAAATTTCAGGTTCATTTTCTACTCGTACAATTTTTGTTCCCCTGTTTATTCTTCTTATAAAACTTGAATCATAATTGTGCAGGAATTTGATAAGAACTTGTGCGTATCTTCAAAAGCAAACAAAATCTTTCAGTTTGGTTTCAGCCCTTTTGTATAAACTATTATGAAATAAAATGGAAATATAACCTACCTTTATTACTAGTTGACCACAAGGTACTTGGTGGACTGCTTCTTTTAGGTTTTACATCTCTAAACATAAGGATATCCGGCACTTTATTAATCTTATTATCCTTTGGGATAACATCCGGAGATCTCTCTACGTTAACTCTAACGAATTCGCCTTTCAGGACTTTTGTTTCTTTATTCACAGGGGGAGGAGGAGCTTTTGGTTTCTTATGGAACAGTCTTTTCCTCTCAGGTTTTGCAGGGATGTCCACATCAGTGTAGATAATGCTATCTATCTCTCCAGCGTCAGAGTCATTCCTTATTCCAATCAAACTCATAGGCTGATCGAAACGTGAATTTTTATGCTGCATAGATATATGAGTAAGATCATGATCTATTTGCCAATCATTATCCCTCCCCTTATCATAAATAGTAAAGTCATCAATACTATTCTTTCTATTCTTATGATCGTATTTTTTCTTCGAAAACAAATCATTTGAATAATTTGTCGTATTATTCGTCAGTCTATTTCGCATCTTAAAGTATTTGTACGTAAAGTATATTCGTTTGAAGTCCTGTTCATTCTCAAATTTCAGCGCTATAGCTTCTTTTACAAGGTTTTTGGTTATGTAAAAGACTAGAGTGTTTTTACAGTTTGGGTAGTTTTCGATGTTGACACAGTTTGTTATGTCGTCTATGGATATGTTTTCTTGTTTAGCCATTTTTAGGTTCTGGTAATCCTTGATGAGTTTTTTGTCGTCATCTTCCTCTTTTGTAAGAAGTTGTAATTGATCTTTCTCATTGAATCCTACGATAATATTATATGTCTGATGGATGGGTTTGGTAATGGTCATGATGTCCAGTTGCTGTGATGCTGCGTGGAGCTTCTGGCGAGCCACAATAGCGGCAAAGCCACCGCAGCGAGTGGCCTTTTTCACCGTCATGTTTCTGAAAGAAAAAAAAGTAAATATATATTTGCATGCTTGTACAATCATGAAACCTTTACTCCGTAAACGATATCTATTAACTAAATAAATTCAATATTAACTCTACATTATATTCTTTTATAAAATCATAGTGCACTTCAATATTCTTACTGAACCTTAGCGCTTAGTTGTTATGCACTAAATATGAATGGTTAATCATTAAGAGTCCGCTATTCCACCTTACTAAAGCTTACTTATCACTATTAGATTTTAATAAAATCAAATACCATTACGTTTTACCGACTTCACACATTAATCTTCATCGATTTTGACTCGTACTCGAAAAGCATTATTAATGCATTCCACATTGATTTTAACCATAACGGCAGCGAAAAGTAACTTGCCTCATAAAAAAATATTTTATTCTTGTTACTTTCTATAACTTTCTCTTTTTCAAATTACGATCGTTTTTAGTAAATGTGGATTTTATTTGTTTAACATCTTATGTGAAGAAATCAATTTAGGAATGTTTACTTATACCTAACTAAAGTAAAGAACGTTGGAGGAGGCTTGTGAAATCTCCAATTCGCATAGGCACGGGTTGTGCATAAAGGAATAATCCTCTCCTTGAATAAGCCTCTTCATAATTGTTTTAATAGCAGAGTTCATTGTGAAAGAGTTCTTTCGAGGAAGTATTGCCACCTTATAAATTTGCGATTTAAAGCTCGGAGTGGCACTGCAACTATCATGGATAGGTGTGTCGCACACCATTAGGCGCACGACTTGTTCGTCTCGTTGTCGCTTGATATCATAAAAAAACTCAATATGTCTGCATGCTTAATATTTGTATGACACTGTACTTATTTTGTTATATGTCATGTTCTATACAACCCATGTTTGTACAATTTATTATCTGTGTGGGAAAAATGCAGCTGTCTCTAGACCCTCCTCCAAGAGTAAGAATAGATCTCAAGACAGCTATAGCCTTCTAAAGCCCTGTGTACATCAAAATGTATATAATATGTGGGGTGATTTAAACCCAAAGTATTGTGATTCCTATGATCTTTTAACGCTCAGTTTACATTATAATATTAATATATCAAATGTAGTATTTTCTATTGCATGTTAGTCTGCCACGTGGAGGCTCTGGCTTCAATTCCCGGGCCGGGAAAACTATTTTTTTATATAAAATTAAGTGCGCATTTGACCTCCATCTCACTTGATGGAAAGTATCGATGAGGGGAGGATGTCGCATGCACACCTAAAAAATGTCTATTCACTCTCTCCTTGAAAAAGGTCCAAGTTACAGCGTTCGGGGAACAAGTCTGCAGGCAGGGAATTCCACTCCCTAGCCGCTCGTCATACAAATGTGGAAGCGAAACGCTTCGTGCCAATCCGGGGAATATCCACAACATAGGGGTGGAACCCCCGCCCACGTCTAGTCTCCCGATGATGGAAAGGGGAAGGCGGAATCAAATTATGCAATTCCATCGCACACTCTCCGTGATATATCCTGTAGAATACCGATAAGCTGGCAACTCTACGGCGGTGTTCAAGGTTCTGCAGCTTCGCCTCTACCAGTTCCGAGTCACCTATAAGCCACTTAGCACGCTTGTCTATTGAATCCAAGGTGGCCAGTTGGTATTTAGCAGAGCCATCCCATAAGTGGCAGCAGTACTCCATACACGACCGGACTTGTGCTTACACAGCACAGCTTAAGCAACTGTCCCGATGTGAAATATCTCCTCACCTTGGAAAGAATGCCAAGCTTCTTGGCTGCATTTTTGGCCATGGATTCAATGTAACTGCTGAAGTTCAGATTGGACGACAGGTCCATTCCAAGTAGGCGAAGACGGTCGGCTATCGGTATGGATATATCACGAAAAGTCGGAGTCAGGTGAAAGGGACTCCGTTTAGTGGAGGAAAGACACGCCTGCGTTTTGGTAGCATTAAATTTGACAAGATTGGCATCGCCCCAATCGAGCCCCAAACGACTTTGTAAGGTCTACATTTATTTCTTTCGTGACTTTGTGTGAAATTTTGTGGTTGTGTAAATTGTGGTATATGTGTGGCACCCGCGACTTAGGGTTTTTGACTGTACATTTAGTACATTTTAAAATACATCAGACGTTTAGAGCTTTTCCCATTGTAGTTTGCTGGGTTTTAGAAGGATAAGAGGCAAATGTACATCAAACTAGATCATCACAAGAAGGCAATAATAACACATGTAACATTATTGCGAAGATAAATATTTACAATAATAAAAAACCTACGCATCTCCAACATTTCGCGTAAAATTTAATTATAACCTCCAATGAGCAGGCATCGTAAATCATTAACATCAAATTAATTAATCGAACGTGCTTAAAGCCACTCTCGGCGTGTCCGGGTACTTTCACTTACGTATTGACTTGTGTTATATAATTCTAGTACCTACTTGTCGTGTTTAGGCAAATAAAATATACGGCATATGTTATTAATGCTAATTAATACAAAGTAGGCCCAAAAACCTCTCCCTGAGGGATACATGTTACAATAATTGTTAGTTAAGTGAATAACGCACGACTGGCCTGGGCAAAGTTCATGGAAAATTGTTGAAGTATTTGATAAAAGAGTTGTGCGCTTTATTTAAACTATTAATTCGTATGTTTACGCGATCTTTATTAATACAGGGGAAAAAAGAAAACATGCGTCAAGAGCCACGCCCTGAGGCGTCGCGTCGTGCCCGGTTGGCTGGCTATGTTTTTTATTTGGATAGTTAGGCATATTCTTTAGCGGAAATAGCTGTTAGTTTTCTGATCACTGGAGGCTTCAAATAGTATAAAGACTTAAAAACGTTACGTAACGACGTATTACGTTATTTTTATTTTATTATCTAATTATTAAAATTAAAAAGCTTTCGTAAAACTCATTCCTGTGCTCATATAAATTTATCAAGTTTAGTGGTTATTTAAAAGTTAATCATTAATATTTTCTTTCAAACTGCCAAAATCTCACCAAAACCATGATCTAACCATTTATTTAACAATAGAAACTCCCAGTGGTTCCAATTAAAATTAATCTAAGCAAAGTGAAAGCTCGATAGAAAAACTTTAAAGTACAAAAAATGTTTAAAACAATGTAAACAATGGATTTGTCGCAACCGTGTGATAGTTTTGGTAAAAAAACTACTTCCCAGTGAAGCGTAATATGGAATTAATTAACACTTTGGTTTGTGGAGTTAATTATGACATGAAGCGATAAGTGAATGATTTTTTAACAGTCAAAACCTAGTGAGTTGTTTTGACAACTTTATAATGTTATAAGAGAAAATGAGTCTGTTTTCCCACTTCTATAACAATTAATCTTTCTATAAACCTATAGTAAAAATGTGTTGAACTTATATGATGGCGTTAAATTAAGCAAGGTAACGCCTCATCTGGATGTTTTTAACTCTAAAATGGAATATACAAGACGCAATTGCGTGTATCGCTTGAATTTTAATTCTAAATTATTTTGTGTTCCGTTACATTGTGTTTTTTTGAACAAATTACTTTGTAAAATGATTTTATTTATTTATTTCTTTTTCTTGTTGTTTTAAATTTGGAGAATATAATTTAACTGCCTCCGTAGCTGAACGGTGTCTGCTAAACAGTCCAGGGATTTATTTTAAAATCTCTCACCGCTTATGTTTCAAATATGTTACTCGCTATCTTCCTATTGTTTCACCTCAAAGTACATTTACATAACAACTAGTGCATTTCCGACTGCTTCAAAACAAGGTAATTATTTGAATTTTAATTTAATGAAATGTTACATTAAGTCATTATTCAAAAACTTCATAAAATTTACGAAGATTAACGCCCAAATATTAAGTTTTTCAACATGTGTCTGGCTTATTTTACTAGCAGTAGAGCTCCTTGTGAAAGAGTTCGTCCAGGGAAGTACTGCCTCCTTATCTATTCCTGCCGCCAAGCAGTAATGTGCATTACTGCGTTCCGGTTTGGGAGGCTAAGGCTGCTGGTGAAATTACAGGTACATGGAACTTGTCAACTTATGTACCAGAGTGGCCGGCGCAATGGTAGTGCCCTCAGATTTAAATGCCTTTGCAAGTTAAAGCTCTGAGTGGCACTGCAACTGCCATGGATAGGCGTATCGCGTGTTGGGGTCAGAGGTTGATTATTTAATACAGCATTTTATCATTTAGATGTATTTTTCTTGTTACGTAACTGTAAATGTTAAATTACTTTTGATTATAGGTTTTAAGGTTACAATAAATAGTATACTAAACGTGTTTGTTTATGTCATGGTCATAGTTAATGCTGTTTTTAGAGATGATGATTATTTGAATCACGTTAAGAAATGTTCGTACAGGCAATTTCAGTTTATTTGAAATACAAAAAATATCTGAGATAAGAGAACTTGAAAAAATAAGAAACATTTGATTATCTAGACGAAAATCATTAACGGCATAACAAATTAGTGGTAATTACGACAGTGACACGCGGAAGCGTCCAGTATCTGCATCGCGCCATTTTCCCACTGCGACATTGTTCAGTTTGTCTGATTTCACAGTTTTACAGCGACACACAATGGGTTCACATCATTAAGAGAGTACTGGATAGGCGACTACGAAGACTAATTTTGGACTTCCTACCTCTTTGATGAATTAAATGAGATTTTTGTGCTTATTTGCTAAATGCAGAACAAATCAAACAACATAGTAGACATAGTGGATATAAATGTATATGCATATATGTAAACGATAAGGAGTTTTCTGTTAAACTGAGCTTGACTTCAATATTTAGTACTGAAGCACCTGGTTGCATTTAATGTCGAAGTGCAGATCCAGCCTTTACATGGAAAGGCTGGATCCCCCCTTCCTTCGGTATTCTTATTTGAACAAGTAAAGAAATATTCTATCGACCCACACACTTTAACCTACGTGAAACCCCCTTTGAACGAAACCTCATTTCTCGAGGGCTCTATGGTACACGGCTCCTAAGGCAGAAGGTGCATTTTCCTTTGAATTACTTTACAGCC